TGCTATATGTGAGTTACTTCATAGCGTCGTCGGTCATAGTAACAGGGTCTCAGGACATCTGTCAACCGTGAGCCTTGGCGGTTCAGCGTTTTGTAGTGATGTCTGGGAGCTCTCACAAGTGCACACTATCACAGCATCTCCTTTTTTATCTTCTTCAAAAGGCTTAGTCCCAATAAGACACAAAGTGTGTGCTTTTCCAGCTACGCTCTCACCCTTTGGTTGACAGAAGCCTTGTCAACCAGTAACGAGCAGCAGTTTCCACTTACATACATTCGCACCTACCGTATTCCAAAAGTGGCGTGCCCATCACACTTGTATTGCGCCAGTTTCTCATTCGGGTGTATACACACGTGCTCCTCTTGTTTGCTGGTTTTTCGCCCTACCCCGTCAAGTAAAGACCCTACCGAGGGCTGCTTATCGCTTATTGGAAGTCCTCGGACCAACTCTGAACAGATCAAGCTCCTCCATTGAATAGTCCAAGTCACGCGATTTTGTTATCGTTGGAACAAAGCGGCTACCGACTGGATCAACTAGGTTGTCAGACGAACATCGGGTGTCGTATGCAACAGTACCCGGACGGCCTCGGGTACCCCCCAGGAGGCCCGTCGCGCGGCAAGAAGGCAAAGTCAGCGGACGAGTCGCGCGCGTACTATAGGGATTTCGCGTCAAGTTAAATAGAGTGTCCCATTGCACGTCCTACATCGCACATCACGCGCTGCAACTCGTCCGCCGACTCTGCCTTCTTGCCGCGCGACGGGCCTCCTGGGGGGTACCCGACGGCCTCGGGTCCGCGGTTACTGATGTTACTGGCTCTCGCTCGAAGGATTCAATGAACATCGTGATGACTAATAATACAGGCTAAATTTCTCTGTTTCGATTATAAACCATCCCCTCAAGAAATGCGAAAATGTATTTCTTCAATATCTCCGGTGTGTTCAAAGCAATATCAGCTAATGGTTTTCTACTCAAGATATGTATATGAAAACGAAGCGAAGTAAGTATTACATAAGGAATCACTCGGATCTCCCAGCTGTCGCTGCGCTTATCTCCTTGTTAGAAATCCTTCATGCAATGGATATGTAGAATTCGTTCCGTACTTAGAAAGCTCATGGTTAGCCAACAATTCGAGTAGCATACCAACGTCTTCCTATCATTTTCATTAAACCCTACTATCGGGTGTGGTTCACTAGGACAGAAAGCGACTTGTCCACTTTTCACGCGCGAATTTTTTCGAGCCCCAGGTGCAGTACGAGAACCCCTAGGTGCAGCCATGATTGGAGGTGGACCTGAGGGTTTCCCATATCAAAAAAGCTCCGCGAAGCAAAAAGCGAAAAACTCGCTTTCTTCCTATGAACAACCCTGTAATAAGCTATCATCAATCCTTCATATGAACGAACACAGTAGCGATCAGTGTGAAACAACGAACGATAGTATGACGCCAACACCAACATGAGCCTATGCACGTATACCCCACCTTTAAAAAGAAACGGAGCGTCGGATGCAGACCACACACCACAAGTGACGATGGCCTCCAAGTAGATTGGTATGTTGGATATTCTGTGTTGGTATGTTGGTTACATGTTCCAATTTCAGTTGGTTTTGAAAATTCTTCTGTTATTTCTTTCGTCTATGACATGTGCTTGCGCATTAATAAATGTTAAATGTTAAATGTTAAACTTTGTTGTGTTGTTGTTGCTTATGCTTTACCGTCGTCACTTGTTGGTATGGTCTCACACCGACGGTTTGCTCGTTTTTGAAAAGAGAGAGGTACTGTCTCCATAACCAAGATCGTGCACACGCAGAAATAGCGTGGCATCGAATCAAGAGCATCTTGAAGCACACGTGACATCACATTTCCAACGAGAATATCACCACGTGTGCTACGTTGCGGAAAATGAAATGTACAGCCCATATCTCGCCGTCTGATTAGGCGGCCTACGGAAATGACGCGGCCAGCGGAGCACTTGGTAGAAGTGATGTGGTCTGTTTCCAGCATGCTCTGCTGCTCTGGCGAAGTACGTTGGAAGCAGCTTGTCCACGCGTCTTCTATCAAGTGTAGCGGCCGCCCCGTCAAATCCATAGACCCCTAGATATAGGGTCATGATTTGAAGGGGCGGCCGCTGCACTATAGATACCTAGATATGGACTGTATACATCTCCGTCCGCTACCATTTTTATCCCACCTTCTCACGAAATGATTACCTTTACATCGGTAACTCTCCACCAATTGCTCGCAGCGATGGAACACCACGCAAGCTGAAGGCGACAATGGCGAGAAAGTCAGGCGTAAGGAAAATCTGCATTTGCGTACTTTCTGCTACTCTCGCGTTTTTCTTGTGCTATGCTTTGAATCTTACTGTGTTTCCATTGCTTTCTGTGGTTTACTGCTCAATTCATCCATTCAATGTTAAAAGTGGTCTCATCCGGTAAGGGAGGCAGTGCTGCGAGAAGTAATCCACTTTTTTTCAGGGAAAGGAAGCTCCGGGGTGGGTGTAAAAGTTCAAGCGAAATGGTTCACGCACCCCGGGGTTTCCCTCCCCTTGCGAAAGTTGGAGGTTTTGTAATTGTCACACCACATGTCCCCCTTACTGGATGAGACCCGTTGAAAGTATTCAAAGGAAGTTTCCACGTCGATAATTGGAGTGAAAATAAATTTTTCCTCCATTGGCTCATTGAATTTGTAGGTAATGGTACAGACAAGGCGGTCACTGGCACCTTCTCAAGGCGTTGAGAAGTCTTTACCTCGGAAGGTATGTCTATTGTGTGTAATGCACGTTACTGTGGTTTTGAAAACCTGCCTCAGTACGTTGGTATTGCCACTTCCACCCAACCATTCAATGGTTAGTGAAAAAAAAGCAAAAAAAGCAAAGCTTTCAGACCAGACGATCTACAGTTTTGGCATCAAGAGCGAGTACTTCTACATCCACACCACCTGATCGGAAACGAGATCGTTCCAAAGGTTCTTCACCTGAGACGAGAACACCTACCATCCGGTCTAAGGTTCAAAGAAATGGCGAAAGTTTGATAGAAAAAAGGAAGACCGCACGAAATTCTACAATTCATGGTGAGAGGATTGACTGTGGTTTTAGTCGAGTCTTAGTTGAGTCATTAATAATTTTTTTCCAGAAAATAGAGTGAATGCTTTGTGCGGGCGAGAGAAGGAGTTCGATAGCATTTGTGGTTGGATTAAGAAAGCCATGGCCACTTCGTGCCCGCTTTCAGTTTACATCAGTGGCTCGCCTGGAACCGGTACCACTTTATTTTCTTATCTAGAAAAAAAATAGAATTTCTTTCTTTCTTTTCTTGAGTTTAGATGGATATATAGCGATAGCAGTGTAACGCACACGCACGGCCTAATTGCGCGAAAGCCAGGGTGGAGTCTAATGCGGCATGTCATCTGAGCTTCTCCCTAATAAATACCGGTCCTAAACTCGTAAAGCATGGGTCATTCTTAGTGATAACAAAATCAGCTTCAAAAACAAGAAGAAATACAGTCGATTCACGGAATTGCTTAGCGTAGACTACCGTTAACACTAGCGCCAAGATTGGAATGCAAAGACTATACCATACTGAAGCTCGCGCGCACTTCGCTGAGATTCTATTAACCGTCTTCCTGTTTGTTTGAGCAATTTAGTCGATTTAGTAGCTCTTCAAAGCTCTTTTGTGGACAGCGAAGCCCTGTTCTAGATATATAATAGTTATGCACGTATTTCTAGAGGGACCTCGCTTATGAGTTGAGTTAAAGAAATGGGGACAAGAAATCATAAAAACCTCATCTATGCGATTTAATTTTTTGTAACTTCTGTGACAAGCAAGAAATCATTTCTATCAAAACACTAGACTGACTGCTGCCTAGCCTTGCATTGTTTTCCTAAAAACGTTGATGACCAGGCGAGGCGCGTGGAACTTCATGGCTTACAAAAAATGCATTCCATTGCTGGGAAGCTACTACACCAACAATAATGCCGCCATATGTTAATTCATGTCTTTTTGAGGGAAAACGGCGACGTTAAGACGTGTGAGCGAATATTTTGGTTCTCAGGCTATATTCACTATTTTGAATTGTGCATCTGTCACCTCCCAGACCAAGCTCATTGAAGGCATTCTAGACACCTTGAAGGTACGCTCATTACACCGATGATCATAATCTTGACTTTCATTTGATGTTCTATTTAGTTACACTATGTTGATTTCATAGGTAGTTTTCCAACCAAATCATTTAGTGTTCATCTCGACCGACTATGGCAGCTTTAACTTCTGCGTTAGGAAGGATTGCGAAAACATTTTGTGCTTATTTTGGATGAAGTAGACCATTTAACGTCGAAAACAAATTCCTTCCTATATGCTGCCTTTCAATGGCCTCAGACAATAACCAACAAATTGATAGTCATAGGTAAATGCTTGTTTAATTTCGCAACTTTGCTTATACCTTTCTCCTATTTGAGGATTCTAATAACTCTTTAGCTTTGATAAATCAAATTGTTCTGGAGTTTTAGGTGTTGCGAATTCAATTGACCTGACGGAACGGTTGCTGCCTAAGTTAAGGCTGGGACAGCCTCCTGAAACACTGGTGTTCGCTCCCTACACTAAAGAAGACATAGCACAAATCCTGAAAAGCAGCATGGCGGAGGAATCGGTATAGAATCTTAGTTATCGAAATTTCACTGCTACGTCTCGAATTGCTTTCAGGAAGGTGCTATGGATACCGCAGCAGTAGAGCTGTGTTCACGAAAGGTAGCAGCTATGACAGGGGATTTACGAACCGCTCTTCACGTTATGAAGCAGACTCGGTGAGTGGATTATAAGTAAGAGATTGTGAATACCGTTCGTTACAAACAAATAAGTTCAGAAATGCGCATGAACCATCGACGCCCCGGGGTTGCCGTGAAGTGTTGGGTGTGTTGAACGGCGTTTATTCATCACCACTTGCTAGGGCACGTCTCCCACTCCAACCACGCCTTCTACTTGCTGTTGCCGTTGCCCTTTCGTCAAACAAAAAGGTTCTAGTTGATATCTGTTTTGTGCTGTCCTTTTTTGTAGGGCATCTCCTTTTGATCTTATGTGGTCGTTATAGAATGCGCTCAATGTCATTTCTCTAACAAATGCTTACCATCGAGCATGTGAAGTCGTCAAGGTACCCCGACTAGAAGGAGAGGATCTGGATGCAGCTCTACAAATTCTCGAAAGTCAATCTTTTCTCGCTCCAGGTCCGGGCGGAAAATTATTACTACAGGTTGGTCATTTTTCTGTATCATGCCGTACTATGACTCTACTCTACCATAATTGAGCCAGATTTCAGAAAAAAAAACCTGCTTTGTTTTTCGAAGGTGCATATGTCATTTGTAATTTTTCATTCCAGGTTAACGCAGCAACTGCGAAGTTGGCTATTGCTGATAACATAATGATTGCTCAAGTTACGGGACTGAATCTGTGAATGTCGTTGTATTATTTAAGTTATTTAAGGCTTCATTTTTTAATTTCTTCCTGTGAATTTGGTTATATTATTCGAAACCTATTTTTCAATTCTTTATGTCATCGGTAATAAACCTTTGCTATCAGCCTAATGCATTGTCGTTCTTCTGAGGTAACCCTACCGCTGTTTTTCATATCGATACACAATTGTGCTATGCATTAAGTGTTGTAGGCGAACAACGTGTTTGCAAGTTTCTTAACCCCTTCTGTATGTTCACCTTTTTCTGAAGGGCATCAGTATCAAAAATTGCATTAGTGTTGAAGTTGCCATCAGAAAGTCGCTACGAGAAGAAGTGCAAATATCCCATTCCGCTGCAACAGGACCCTCATGGCTTGTTGGAATTGTCACTGATGGGACCTCAGATTCCTTAGCAGCTAAGGGTTTTACAGATTGTTTCTAGTAGATGTGGTAAGCGTACAAATTACTGCCGTATGAAGAGATAGCCAGTCAGGCCACACGCAGATAGTAGAAGGGGTATACCATGTTATATGGCACGGCCGGCCCTTCAGGTTGGACGCCAAGTGAAGATAACGGGGTCGACCGTTCGTTGGGATTTTTACAACGAATGGAGAGGGCGTAACTGAAGAAAAGAAGTCATGTTTTTGAAAGGAAGAAGCGGGTTTTGTGGTTTAGGTTACTTAAAAGTGTGCAGCTGTTTGCAATCTGACCTGCACCTACAATTGATCAGATCACTATTGCATTAAATCTGCACTTACATCTTCAGACGTGCTGAGTCGCCTCAAGCACGTTCAGTTTCGTCACCAAGACCGAAGATGTTTTGTTTCAGGAACAATGAGGCCGTTAACCAACGAGGAGACTGAGCAGGTGTTTGCCAAACTGGCATCGTTTATTGGCGACAATGTAGCGCTTCTTATCGAGCGAGCAGATGGTGACTATTGTTTCCGGAATCACAAAGTTAGAGCTTTTCCAATCCAAATTTATTTGCTTGACATTGAATTGTAGCAAAAGGCTTCTTGTGCGAGACCTTCAATACACTCGCTTAGGAACGCGTTTACTACTGTTCGGAAAACTTAATGCGGCAAGCCAGTTGCATTGCTCGGGAGCCACTCCTATCATTTGGCACATGTCTTGGTAAATTCACGAAGTCACGCAAATTTCACCTTCATATTACTGCTCTCGACTATTTAGCACCATATGCCAAGGTATGTCTCTTTGGATGATTTCGTTTATCTTTTCCTTTTTTTTCTCTTGAACTGATTTCTGTTGGCACTTCCTGTTCAGTAATTGAAATAACAGACTAATAAATCCGAATTAGTTGTCCAGTAGTCATTCAGAATGAGATAGTATTGAGGGGTTGAGCTAGTCGCTTATGTAAACGACCAGTTGACACATCCTAACTCCACCCACATTTCCTACAAAATAGCCGTCGGGAGGGGGGTATATATTCAATATGAACAACCTCGCTTGGTCATCAAATTCAATGGAAAAAGCGCAAAAGCACAGAAATATTGGAAACCTCGCATGTGAATATTGTGCTTTGTTATACTACATTATTATGCTTTAATGCTTTTTTAAGTTCTTCTTGCATCTTTGATTCCTTTTGAAAAATCTTTATATGAACCAGCTGGAAAACAAAGCTCTAGGAGGAGCGATTGGTACGAAATTTAGGTTCCTTTTCGATGTTCAAGAACACATCGATCATCAAAACAGTTTATTCACTTTACTCCTTTAAACAGGGGTAGGGAGTCTGCATTCAATCGTTTCGCACTTCCACTCCTCTTTGAATAGGCAATAGAACCCATCCCCACATTTCGCACACTCAGCAGGACAGAGATCTTCTTCTGTGCCTGGAAAAATGGTAAGAGACCTTTAGGCATCATTCTAAATAATTGGTCAAGTATTGTGTTTGGACGACTGTGCGCTTCTTTGAAGCAATGCAGCGCAGTATTTGAGATACGATGTAAGGGTGTGCGAAAATATATTAGGTTGGTGAACTTTGAAATGTCGCTTGCTTTTGTGTCTTCGTTTCTCTGTTAAAACACAACCTCGTGATATAGGAGTCCATTCG